GACACCCTGGATAAATGAGTGAAATTCTCTACGGATTAGTAACGCATTATAGACCACGATGACTTTTCGCCGAGAGAAGGGGTGGGTGTGGGGTGATTTCGTACTTGCCAGGGGCACGTACAATAAAATAAAGGCAAACTCTGCACGCCACAGTGAGTTAGAGAGCTGATGTGAAGACTAATGTACAGGGAGTGACAAAAAAATGCCTTCTAATACACATTGCTACAATCCGGGATGAATCACGAGTAAATCAGTAACGGCACATGATTTCTAAATTAGGCACAATCAATCCGAATATCTTAGAAGTTCTTTAGACTCTGCATCATAATAGCTGTCAATTTGAAAGAAAAAAATGGCATCAAGTAGGTTGACTCTGCACGCAACGCTGTCATCACTTCATAAAGATTCATGTGCGACACAAGTTGACGTCTCTGCGAAAAAAAGTTAGCTACGAACATGTTTAACAAGCGACCCATACAATTAAAATTTGCATATTTACCTTGTTTTGTTTTTGTACAATTTTGAGGCTCTATAGGATTTGGCTCTCTGAGAAAATATGCTCTCCCTCACTTTTGGAGGCAGTTACGCTTTTATACCAAAGTACCTTTTGTCGATGGATGGCTCTCCCCCTTTCCCTGACAAAAATTCCCGTGAGCGCATAAAATCGAAACTATGTGTATATCAGCCATGGATAATTATTTATCGGTTCACATCCAATCGAGCAGCGTAGGCCAACTGCTAACAGCTACACACATAGATCAACAGCACCCCGAAAAATATAACCGACTCGCGAGGGTCGGAAATATTTCTTCACCGTTCAAATTTTAAGGATAACTGTGCGGGGAAGTCTATGAGTGAAATGTGTCCAAAAAGTGCATAGAAGAAGAAGAATTACTATGGCTAGGGGCGTACACACCACTAGCAAAAAATTGAGAGGAAGTAAGAAAGAGTTTTAGTATTTTATATACACAAGAGTTCCTCAAATCTCACAGGATCTTCACAAAATCCATAAAAATTAGGGATTGCTGACGTTCATATACTAAGTGACATATAAATCCGAACACCCAGTTTAAATGGTTTTATTTTAATAAAATTTTGTTTAAGTACTTAATGAAGCATAATAAGTAAATGATAAAAATTTCAAAATTTTGCACTGCTTTAAAGCCCTTTGACCTTTAATAATGTGTGGATGCACCCTGATGTGCTACGCTTTCTCCAACGCGCCTAGACATGCTTCTGATCAGGTGGTCAATGTCCTCCTGTGGTATCTCATTCCAGGCAACCACCAACTCCTCTCGAAGTGCTTCTAGAGTCTGAGGAGGACGTTGCAAATTGAGCAATCTCCTACCCATCATATCCCACACGTGCTCAATTGGGGATAAGTCGGGAGATCTTGGTGGCCATGGTAACAATGTGACATCATTATGTTGAAAGAAGTCTATTGTGACTCTTGCAACATGTGGTCGGGCATTATCTTGTTGGAAAGTTGGATCTGCCAGGGTGTCAAGATAGGGTAAAAGATGGGGTTCTAGAACTTCGTGGATATAGCGCTGCGCGTTCATGTTACCTCTGATGAAGATTAAAGGTGACCTGGAACCATAAGCTATAGCACCCCAAACCATAACTCCAACAGTGTGATGAACATGTCTTTCAACAAAAAACTGTGGATTCCTCCTTTCACCACGTCGCCTTCTAACCCTGACACGACCATCGTGCATGCCTAAACAAAATCGAGACTCGTCACTAAAGACAATACTGTTCCATTCCTGATCCCAGAGTGACCGTTGTCTGCACCACTCAAGGCGATTACATCGGTGTTCTCGAGTTAAAGGGAGGACCCAGTGTGGCCGGTATGAAAACAAGCCAAAACTTCTCATTCGTCGGTAAACACTTCGCATGCCAATAGGTCTTCCGTGTTCTGCAAACCATTCATTTGCAATGGACCTGGTAGTGGAGAAACGGTCCCTTAAGGCCAATAATCTTAGGCGGCGATCTTCACGGTCTGTTGTTCTACGGCGGCGTCCAGTGCCCCTTGCTCTTTGCGTACGGCCTTCTCGAAGCCATGCCTGACTACACCTAACCACAGTGTCTACACTTCTTTGCACTCTAACTGCAATTGCCCGAAAAGAAAGTACAGCTTCCCGAAGTCCCACTATACGACCCCTATCAAACTCACTAAGTTGACGAAATCGTACAGGTCTCCGTACTCTAGGCATCGTAACCGATCGTAAAGGATGTCAAGAACCAAAATCCGCCAACGTTGATTCTTTACTGCGGCTGAAATATTCATTTTTAGAGCGTTAGTGAATTAAAAAAAGCAGTATAAAAACCGGAATGTCCAACTGATAAGGCTGAAAATTTTTTCACTTGTTATTTACAATAAGATAAATACATTCACCAACTTTTATCAAAATAAGACCATTTAAACTGGGTGTTCGGATTTATATGTCACTTAGTATATTATTATGTGGACAATCCTCTACAATAATACTTAAGGAATTCAAAAAATCAACCATTTCTATATTGTCGTGACCAGACATTTGAAATTCATCTCAAGTCATTTGAAAAACTCTACCACCAATGACGTGATTTTCAATTATGTATTTATACAGTATAACCCCACAGTATATGTATTTTTAAATTCCATCAAAATTGGCTTTATCTATATGCTGACTAAAAAATGGTAGGCAGATGGTGAGGTACATAATTTACTATTTTCTGGCAAATAATGTCCATCTGTCAATAATACTTCGCTACAATGAACAAACTCCACAACTTGTGGTATCTTCAAAAAATTGTTGGGTTGGGAATATTTGTATGTATAAAAGTCCAGAAGCTTGCAACAAAGCTGTTCTCTTGATGAAGGTAGATAAGTTCAACCAAAACAATCATTGCATATTCATATTATTACTTATCGCATTATTTTCAGGTGTGATTCATTCTCACAGACTTTATGAGATGGTTCCTCCATGGATAAGAAACATTGTATGGCAAGTGCAATTATTGCATTGTCGATGTCAGAGATGCTTTTTGACAAATTATTGTGGGACTCTGGATTGTGTAGAGTACCAAGCACAAGTATCTATAATGTGTGTATGTGAAGATCATAATTACTATTATTGAGCATCGCTATTCCAGGGTGCTCAAAATGCCATGGTCATGTAGGATTATCAAAAATGAAGTGCTACAGAGAGTAAACATAAAAATAAAGTTGCAGCAAGAAGTAAAATCAGAAAAACTTTTACATAAAATTCCATAATTATTTACGAATGGGAAAATAAAAGGAAATTGTGACTCATTAAGGGAATTACTTTTCTGTTGAACAAACTCCAGACAATTCAAACAACTAGATAAGTGGAAAAGACCCATTATGTTGAAAATGGTAGTTACCTCTGACTAGGTTAAGTGCTAATAAGTAGTTTTAAAATAATTGCATTGCATTAATAATTCACTTATCATTACAGGTAGATAGATGCTGCAAGTACCAAATTAAAACTCCCAACTTTGTCATGAACTTATCATGTAAGACTCATTTTAGGCAAAAATGAACTTAACCTAACCTGGCTCTGAGGTACAGAATTTGATTTATATTTAAACTGCTGAGTATACATTTTGGATTTAAATTGCTATCAATAATGGAGCCTTCAGCTACTGAGCATACTAAAAAAATACTTCAGTGGCATCATCAATAACAAGGAGATCAATGCACTGAGCCTCAAAGAACAATATGTTGTATTTATCAAATGTGTGCACCATATATTAATATTGTAGAATGTGTTATATGAAGAAAAATTGAGGAAACCTAAATACAGTTTCTTTTCCAATTCGTTCATTGACTTGTGATCTTAACATAAAAGGGAAAATGAGAAAGAAATATCAAAAACTGAACAGGTTTGAAATATGAAGAGCAGATTTTGCTAGTTATGATAGTAAAAAAAAATGAAATCTTTGGCTCGAAAGGCTGCATTTATCTCTATTGGTAGCTGCAATTTAGTGTGTTTCCTAATTGAATGTCCATACCGAAAAATACAATCTATTTCTCGCCATAGTGACATTGTCATACTAACGATACTAGGATCATGCAAAGAGACGTTATTTTATTTTTGTAAGCGAATACCGTGCATCAGAGTGAAAAAAATAAGGGATTAAATTTGTTTAGAAATGACGGGATTTCAAGAGTAGTTTTTATTTTAAGAGAAATCAGTTGCGTACTATCATTGTCTACCAAAATAGGCAATTGATATGGGTACGAACGTCGCTAGTGGAAATTAAAAGAAAATTCGTACATTAAAAATTACCTCTTGATAGTACATTGATTTTTAAAAAGTTTACCGCCCCGTTTCTCAAAAGTCAAGACGTTTAGGACATACGATTATATGAAGTTTTCTCCTTAAAATTTAACCAAAAGTCATTCTCTGAAATATTTTCATTCATTTGGAAGACACTATACATTTTATGTAGGTAAGTAAAGCTAAAATTGTTAAAGCTTCTTGTAAAACAATAGTAGTTTTTCATTTTGGATGTTATTTTGGCTATATATTCGTTCATATTTCCTTATATTAGTTGCACTTTTTAGATATAAAGATTTCATTTGACTACTGATACTTATGTGTTTTGACATACTGTTTATTAATTCCTTAACAATTTTATGTATCATATTTTTCAGTTGGTATTGTTGGTAAAATAAATATTTTTATTCTTCATTGTATACCCACAGAAATACAATAGGTTCATTCAAAAATATCCAGAAATATCATATATATTTCATCAATTTTTAATCGTTCTTTTTTCTTAAAACAAATGTTTTTTCTCTAGAATGATGTTAACTAGATTATATGCTATTTTCTAAATTACAAGCTATGTAAACAGGGCTAAAAGGATATCTAATCAATTACAAAGAAATCTTTCCAGTTTGGGGGTACATTAGATCATTTTGGAAAGTTAATTAACTCTAGGTACCGAACTTCTTGAAATATCCAATTTAAATCTATTGACTCTTCTTTTTTTTCCCTCTAATAACGTTCCTTACACTGGAGTTATTCTGTCCTGGAACACTATCTTGTACTCTGGGCTTATCAAGATTGGATATATCTTTGAGCAATGCAAGTAGCTCTGAAAAAATACTATTATAAGTAATGGTGATTACTTATGTTTTAGTCCTAAGTACCGATATAACCATAAGTGTTAAAATATGTATTTCATATAGCATTTTTGCTAGATCACTGGATTTTTATTTTTGCGACTGTCATCATTGGCCACTGTGCTGTGATGTCAAGTGTTCAATCCCAACGCATGGCATCAGCTTTGTGTGATTTTGTCAAATAGAAATGTTGATTACAATATTCAAAAAGGCACTTTATCGAGTTTCGTGTGACATTTTAGCCTCCACATGCAACATTAACCATTAGACATTTGAGAACCCCCTGCCCAGGCATAACAAAGCTCCTCTTGAACTCGATAGCTTTTAACTTTTATGATTATACAGGCTTATGCCTACCTTTAATTTATAAATTGCAGCGTAACACATGTCAGTCACAAAAAGCAAATTCACTTATTCCAGTAAGGTTGGCTCCTTCAAACATGCTTTCAAGTGCCTGGATGCATGAATCCATTCTTAGGAAGATCATTCGTCTCTTTATCCTTCCAAAACAGATATGAGGTTTTGTATGCAATATCACGATGATTTATATCTGCAAAAAGGATGCATAGATTCAAGAAACATTAAAAATTTTACACCTTGGTGTGGGCTACAATTTTATAATGATATTTTTTAGAGATATAGTCTGAAATTTTTAGGTTAAGGTTCCCACTAATATAAAAAAATACCAGATAGGGCAGGGCATGTTTAAACTCAATTTCAGAGCATTTACACATTATACATACTTGTAGCCTGACACTACGCAATCCAAAGTCTAACAATGATTTGTGAACAGCCATCTCCGACATCAACAATGCAGTTGCACTTGGGATACAACGTTTCTTATCCAACATCTCAAAAAGTCTGTGAGAACGAATCACATCTAACAAAAAATGCGATAAGTATATAAATATGAATATGCAATCTTTAATTTTATAACTTACCTACCTTCATCAAGGAACAGCTTGGTTGTAAGCTGTTAGGCAAATATTATATAAATACACATCAATTTGCATTAAATTGTTGATTTGAGATCATTAATACCAGATATGGGACTTGAAGATACCACAGCCTGACGAATTTGTTCAATGTAGGAAATTATTGAATGATCAACATTATTTGCAAAAAAATATACTTCGGCATTTGATTTATCTGTCTAAAATTTTTCAATCGTCAAAAAAAGAAACATAACCTAACATCACAATTGACTTCTGATTGACAGCAGACTAGAAATCTAAAACAGAACATACAAGTATTTGACTAAAGATGACATACTATTATGAAAATCAAGGAGGCCATAAAGGCTTCCTACAATTGTAGGAACGACTAAACGATACGGGCCTTAGAAGTGTTGATCCACTTGAACTGAGTTTTGGAAGTTCTACAAGCTCGAATTTTCAAATAATCAATAACAGGGGAAATTTTTGACAAATATTTTTGCTTTCCACACCACTGTCTAGGAAGTATTCTAAATGCAAAAAAAAATCGAAAATGAGAAATCAGTTTTTTCTGTGTATTATACCTGCTGTTATTTGACATCTACATCACGAAAAACTTGGAATGTACTGCTCAGATTTTGATGGAACTTGCATACAAGGTTACTACTATTCCACGGACGAGAAAGCTTCTTAGTTTTCAAGAATCTATTCAATATTGGCGACCCCTGATCATTTTCAGAAAAAAAAGTATTTGAGGTTGGGGGTATGCAGGAGGAAAATATCTAAATTTTTTGGTGTTAGTATATTTATTTCCTTCCAAACCTGGTAATTCTACGCACCGATTAGTACATATATCATACATCATATATTCCGTCGTACATGTGCGCTTAAAACATGGAGAAATAGGTGCAACAGATGCGTCGCGTATCCGTCGCACCTGTCGTGCTCCTCGAACGTATACCTATATGCACAAAATCTTGTTTGCGCCATTTCTAGATTGTAGCGTTATCAAATAAACTACTTAACGCTATTTTGGCCAATGTTTCTTGTTTTTTTGAGTAGGTGGAATTTGGAATTTAACCTTCCTATATAGCAAATATGCAGCTTTCGGTCAATTATTGTGGTTTTTGTCAGAGCGATCTTTGAAACCTCTGCTCTCAAGTCAGAAGATCATTTATCCCTTTCAGAGAGGAAAGGAGGGTAAATTAAAAGGAAGCGAAAGAGCAAGAAGAAGAAAACGAAACCATTATCAATTTGATCATTCGATGTTATGAATAGTTTCATTTGCAGTCGTGACTCAATTCTGTTCCATATCTGGTGTTCAAAATTTGTGGTTTAATTAGTATCGCAGATTTTAAATAAATGGATACACACAACACAATTATTTAATAACTACTTGTCTGCATGTGCAAATCTGGATTGCATATTATCTTCATCGTCAGCACCAGATCCGCCTGTATGCAAGCAAGCATCCGGCGTACAGGAAACGTCAAATTAACTTGTAACAGAGCGTGAGGAGCCACCAAGCGCAGGAGGCAGACAGAAGGAAAAAATGAAGAGGCAGCAGTGCAAGCGGTGGAAAGTAAATTCCCTGTAAAATAATAACAGTAATAATAGCCAAGTAGGCGGTGGTCGGGATATAGGTGTGTTTTCAGGTGTCTGAAGGCGGCCTTTTAACACCGTGACTGGCGAAATTCATCTTTAATTATGTCAAATTAATACAATAAGTGACAGGCCGGGCGGGCGTTGCGGCAGGAGCGTTAATTTGTGAACGCTTGGCGCTCCGCTGCCTTCACTGCAGTTAGGGCTGTTAAAATAAACAGGAAACGCTCTGGTGCCTGCCGTGTTCAGCGAAGAAGGCGCAACCAAACCATGGAAAGGATAATTGTCCACGGTTTTTAGATGTCATCGTGATGTTGTCTCAATTAGTAAACGTCCAGGTCCACCTGATATACATAGATTTCACTAACTTATTAGGAATTTCCTCCGAAGGACGGGAGCTTTTGCAATTCTTATAAAACGAAGGAAGCTGAAAAAAATTGCCATCGGCCTTATTCAGCTCGAACTGTGAGAGTCTGCGAAACACCGATATATATTTATATTTATTTATTCATGTAATACTATTGAAGCGGAATCGAGAACAGCGTATATATGGAATAGCTGGAATTGTTCGAGATCCCCGCAAATATATATACAGTAGACTGTCAACTATCTGGTCTAAGGTGACGGGCAGCTAATCCGGTTAACGAAAAAGCTGGATGAGCCGAATCAATGTCCAAACATACGCAATTTTATTAAACAAATGTATTTTAACTCAGAACTTACATTTGTACTTATTAAGGTATGAGAAAATGCATAAATATGTATAGTAACAGTACATAATACATACATAATAATCTTTATATTATATTAAATACATTTTAATAATCTACATATGCGTTTTATGTGTAATTTCGAATTCTCTAGATCTGATGTTTTGTTATTTAATGGTTTGGTGATCAATGTCAGTTTGGTGTGTCCATCGACTTGGTACGCGAATGAACTATACCGAGTGTTTCATAAATTAGCGAGTAAGTGTCTATAAGTTAGTTCAATAAATAAACTACCGAATAAAGTTACAATGTATTGTAGGAAATTGAGTTTCGCGCCTTTGAATATCTTTCCAATCGTGGTACTTGCTCAGCATCATGTACATCAAAATTTCAGCTAGTGCAACAAATATGACCTCAGTTATATCTCTTACATGAGAGTTGATAAGGAAAATCCTTTTTCTCATTCTCTTAAAGAGACTGGTGCAGCAGTCAGATCTTGGACGGAACTATATTTGAAATTTATAATCACTCGGTAAGTTCTGTTGTGTTTGTATGTGAAATTGAGTCAGTGTCACCACCAATATGCATTTTGCTCGAATCGCATGATTAACCTCTTCTGTGGCGTAGTTGTCTTATGTCAAACCGCCATTTTTATCTTTCAGAAGAATACTATTACAATTAATAAATAGGTGCTCCTTTATGTGAATCTTAGCGTCACTTTTACTGTATTATGTCTGGAAACGTACACTTCAGGGCTTATTATGGTTGCCCATAATTTGGATTAGCTAGCGATTCATGCATTTAGGATTGTTTAGTATACATACTACTCTAGAATCGCTCTGCAATAGTTTAGGGTCCAAAAATGTCTATATATTACGGCTTCCGATGGATAAACCGTCTATGAAATCCATTTCGAATAAACCAATGGAAAAGATGCCATGAAATTATACTTTTGTGATATTTTGTATAAGATAGTATGTTTTCTTGTCTTAATCATAGGATATTATACCATTCATTTTTAAACTGATGCTTTCATTTTAACGTTGTATGCTGCATATTTCAACAATAAATACATATCTAACGTACAGTACCCCACAGCCCATATGTTTTTGAAAAAGTCTACTATGGAGCAGCAGCAACATTGCAGAGAATGCTATATAACTACTGTTGTTGAGTGATCATAGTTACGATAAATAAGAGGATATGGACTGCAATCTAGCTTGCATAGTCGTGGCCTTGATATCGGCGTCAAACAAGAAGTTGGTGGAAAATGACCTATGGTAAACAGTCGATGATAAGAATGGAGCAATAACGATATATACCACACAGCGGAAATAACGATTTTGAGCTTACAATCAAAAAGGGGGGTCCTAAGGGTGTAAATGGTATTTAAATCATGGTCTGTATAGGTATATTTCATCAAATATATTACGCTGAAAGAATTGGAGCCTTTATAGATCAAAGCTCCGGGCAGACTTATAGGCTGAGATTTCAACCCTTAAGTCTACATTGTGGGGATCTGCACGCACAGATGAAAGATGCCTCTTGAAGAATTTCTTGCAGCAAGAAGCTTGGTTACTGCAAACATTAGTGACGAAGCTACTTTTGTTAAAGATACTCATTCAGCTCGTACATAGTGAAAATGAATTTGATGGGCAAGACCGAAAACTCGACGGTAGTAGATGATGAAAAGATGAAGCTAGCAACGAACATACAAGATTCGAAATTGAAGAATAAATAAGATTACGTTAAAAATCCCTTCCTGCTGACTTACAAATAGCCCTTTGGATCATAAAGCTGTATGACCAAAAGGACAAGATTCAACAACTAGGAGAGATTGTTGTAACGGCTTGTGATAACACATTTGGTGTGAATTACAGGAACGGTACAGTCAGACATGTAAAATACTGGTGGAATGCAGAACTAGAGCAAGAAAAGGAAGCATGATAAAGAGGAAACTAATAAGAGAATACAAGAAGTATTACAGAACAAATGGTAAATGGACAATGATCTGATAATGGAATATATTAGTAATGGCAAGAAAAAGTGGGATTATGTTCTGAACGACCTTGATGATGATATCTGGGTAAAATATGTATAAAAAGGTTTACTGAAAGACCTTACTTAACTTCCGAATAACAACTTCAGATAGCAAAAGATTTGTTTCAGAAAAGTGAACTACTTAGGTGCAAATTCTACGAATCATCGGAGTTTACGATGAATTAATTGAACGAAGCTTCAT